GGTTCAGGCGCTATCTGCACATCGACTGCAGACGTAATGCAGATCTGGCGAAAACACCTTTACAGTCTCTTGAACAACTGTTCAGAGATCGACTGGCCAACCATGAACGGCCTCAAGCAGTACGATTTGAAGGCGAATCTGGCGGACACGCCGATACTGGATAAGACGCAGAGAGCAATTGCTCAGCCACGGAACGGCAACTGTGCCGGGGCCGACGGGATCCTGCCTGAAGTATTGAAACAAGACGGACCCGCGTTGTTGACTGCGCTGCACCACTTGGTGCGACGTGTATGGATTGAGGACGAGGTACCTCTTAAGCTGAAGGATACCCTTGCGCTACCACTGTAAAAGGGCAAACGGAGCAAGCAATGTTGCACGAATTATCGTGACAGCAGCTTGCTGAGTTGTGTGGACAATATGTTTGCCCGAATCCTGCTCAACCACCTCGTCAGTCAGATTGTGGAATCCAACGTGGCGGAAGAGCAATGCGGATTCCGCTCGGGTCGCAGCACCATAGATCTGGTGTTTGCGGCTCGTCAGTTGCAAGAGAAGTGCAGAGAACGTCACCAGCCATTGCACTCGCTTTTTGTTGATTTCACTAAAGCATTTGATACGGTGAACCGCGAGGCATTGTGGCTGATGTTGGGTAAGTTTGGTTGCTTGCGTAAGTTTGGAAGTTTAATTGAATGTCTGCACAGTGGTATGCGAGCGAGGGTGCAGCTGAGTGGAGAGACCTCGGTTGACTTTACAGTTGTCTCTGGCTGTCTCAGCTCCTGCCCTGTTTAATATATATCTACATGCCATGACGTCTTGTGCTTTTGATGCGGCTTGTGCTTACGGTGTTCGTGTGGAGCACCGTATTGATGGTGGGTTGCTGAACATCCGTCGTTTCGGTGCGAGAACTCTAGTCTGTGGGGCAACTATCCGTATGTTGCTGTTTGCTGACGACTGTGCGTTGTTTTCACACAGCGCGGATGAGTTGCAGCATATGACTAGTGTTCTGGCTTCGACAGCAGCAAACTTGGGGCTCACCATCAACACAAGCAAAACTGTCTGTCTCTTTCAGCCTTCACCGGAGGTGCAATCTTCAATATTGCCGCGAATCAGCATTGGTGCTGAAGTATTGGAAACCACCTCCCGCTTTTGCTACCTTGGAAGTGTGATGTCGACTGATCAGCAGCTACACAGTGAGCTTCGTGTCCGCGTGTCGAAGGCAGCGGCGGCATGCGGGAAGCTTGAGTACCGAGTGTGGAACAACCATCAGCTTACCGTTGGCACAAAGCTGACGGTGTACAAATCCATGGTGCCGTCCGTTCTTCTACACGGCAGTGAAACGTGGGTGATGTACCGGCGGGGTGTGCGATATCTCGAGCGGTTCCATCAACAGTGCTTGCGACAAATTTTGCGCATGAGTTGGGGCGACAGAGTTGCAGACACGGAAGTTTTGCGCCGTACTGGAATGTCTGCAGTGGACTGCATACTTTTGCTGAGACACCTGAGGTGGATCGGTCATGTGAGCCGTATGGATTCGACGCGGATACCGAAGCAACTCTTATATGGTCAGCTGAGTATAGGGAAGCGGCACGTGGGGAAACCAAAGTTACGTTACCATGGCATGAATAAAGTGAGCCTCTCACGTTCTAATCTTGATTGCAGATCATGGGAATCGAAGGCGGTTGATCGGCATGCATGGCGCGATCTGATCACGAAGGAAGTTGCCGTGGTGCAGGAGAAAGCCCTCATACATGCAGAGAAGAAGCGGCGATTGCGGAAGTGGCAAGTACCGATGGGCTGTTCTCCATCAACATCAAGCTCATGGTGCTGTAGCACATGCGGTCGCGAGTGCCTGAGTCAGGCAGGCTTAGTGAGCCACAAGCGAGGCCACTCGGGACCACTACCGAAGCGACGACGGGTCCTGCAGAGAACGTAGGCAGAACCGGCGCAGCGTTTGTAGGTAGGCTGCATTCGATTTACTAACAGCGTGCTTGCATGCTAAGTCTCTTTATTTCAGGTGGTGGGTTTTCAATTTTGCCTTAATACTTTTCTTTCTCATATAAATGTCTACCTGTACTCTATTCCATTAACTTGCACACCTCGCTTAAGCCAATTGTAATCGATTTCCATAACATTTTTGTGTTCGTGGCATTTCCGTAAAGTATACCTTCTGACCTGGCGAACTTATCTCGCATTCTTCTGTGAACAATTTATTTAATATGCTCATTAAGTTAAGGTTTAGGTCACCGTTTCCTTATACATTAATCGAGTTATTTTCTTTGTATCTCTCCCTCTCAAGTGATTGGCTGTTGTTTGATATCCCCGGTGTGGCTGCGCTTGATGTGCATGTTGACAAGGTGCCTACCTGTCTATTACCCACTACCTCATCAATCTGACTCCAGGAGACAGTTGGTCGTTGCTGGAGGGGACGGGGTGCACGGTCCTTGTGGCCGTGTTAGGATCAAAGAGTTGTTCCATGCACTCAGTGTGGAGCGGACTACGGTCCAGCCACCGCTTTGTGTGCGCTTGATCGTGCGATTGTCGTGGCACTTTTGACTCGGTCGAGCTCGTAACGACACTTTTTGAGAGTTATCTTTAGTCTTCTGAGATCGTTGAAGACAGAGGATACTGACAGGTTTATCCCATTCTCTCTCAGGCGCATCTGCAGCTGCACCAACGTGTCCTCAGAGTGCCGTTCAACCGCTTCTTCGACACGCTGCAATACATTGGGAGTCAGCTTCTCCCTATTGTTTCCACCGCAGGTGCGCTGTGTATTTGAGCCTTCTCGCTTGTAGGCATTAACGATGTTCCTTGCCGTACTCGCGTTAACACCGGCGACTTCAGCGGCTTCCCGAGTAGTTTTACCGTCGACCAGCACAAGTTTTGTGAGAATTTCTCTTTGCGCAAATGATGTTCGCCTGCAGTGCCGTCGCGTCGGACACCAGCTCTCCTGTTGTTCATCACTCATTTTGGTCGTTTCGTGCGGCACGGAGCTAATAAAGCTAAGTTGTGTTGAGTGGAACCATTATCGTATGCTCGGCTCCAATAGTGGTACCGCTGCATAGGTCAGTCCACACACCCAGACAAAACACACGAATTCCTATGGGGGGATGTAGGGGAAAATAGGTCACCGATTTTGACCGAGGCGAACGGCACTCATGTCAAGAGAAGGGCTGACACAATCACCCGCTACGTACGCAGCTCGGTTACATTATCGTGATCACAATGTGGCCTGAACATCGTGTAATCGGCCCACTCCTCAGTAGTTAATATGTTGCAACAATAGGCTATAGATCTAGACTGGTTTTGCTGGGGGTCATTACAGCCTACGCTGATACAATAACGTGGCAGTTGCGAAAGCTAATAGAGAGACGGGCGAAGCTGGGACACCGCCTACCTGCTTCATCCGACATGGTCCCATTGACCGAATCGGACAAGGTTCCCTCTAATGAGAATAACGGTGCACATTGAGATTGCGCATCGCAATCCACTCACAAAATGATTGATACACAATTACGATTCGGACGTCCGATTTTCCAATTGTCACACACCTACACAGGTTGATGCGTATGGGCACTGCACACCAACTAGGCGAATGTCAATGGGGAGAGGGGAGCGTAGTTCAGAACTTCGGTCGCTGCTCACGATCAAGCAAATGTTTTACAGTGTAGCCCGCTGCTTACACAATGCCGGTGTATTAGCGTCATCACAATGTATATCCTGAACATCATTCAGCAGTCTTACTGCTCGTTTCTTACCAACAAATTGGCGAGTTGCTACTTAGATTGCAACGTGTCCAATTTGCTTTGCAAAATGTCCAGTTTGGTTTGCAAAATGTCCAATGTGGTTTGAAAAATGTCCAATTTAAAGTGAAAATGGTATATATATATATATATATATATATATATATATATATATATATAGCGCCAGCAGAACCCAAAGACTGGTTATCCCCGAGGCAGTATTTATCTCGAAGGATCGCCCGGGTTGTGTGCACAGAAGTAACTGTAGCAATCTGTAAGATTGCATTGGTTTTGATTGATCGTATTGTTTCAATTCGGGTTCCACGTGTTCACTTCTGTTTGATTCCTAATTATATTGCGTTCGCGGCCGATGAAAATAACTGAAATGTTAACATTTGGCAACTTATGTCTTCTTAATGCGCTCAGTAAATGGCTAATCCCCAATACCACCTCCCCGCTTACTGGCTCCAAGGGATTAGCAATTGATTTTGGGGGAGACTCAGTGTACGGTTCTAGTGACAGTGCTAGGCACAAAATGGGGTTACTTTCAGCGTGGAGAAGGATACGGCTTAGTCACCGTGCTGTGCACATCGAGTGTACATGTGTTCCTCAATTTATATGGATGAGATGCATAATGAAGGTGTGCGCCGGCCCCGAACCGGTCGCAGCTCGCATGCACATGCCACAATAGGGAAATGGCTGTTTGGTGTTATAACAACAATACACACGATTGCGAGATGACAATGTCAACCCCATATAGTTTTTTGGCACGCGCTTTGCATTTGCGAAGAGCAACTACAGGACTGCCAGTCACTTGATATGCACTTGACGTGAATTTAAATTTAGCTATTCGATTTATTAAGAGTGACGGGGTTGGGGCTACTGGAGTTACTTCACGTGTCACCATGGCTACAACTCAAGGCGCCGACAGTGCCAGTAGGAGATTCTTCTTGTTCCCAAAGTTTGCGAACACTGGGTGGTAGCAAGTGACACCCTGGTAAGATGCAGGATTTATCACTGAATATTTATTTACGGCATTCAGGCCATTCCATTTTCGCTCAGCAGTTGGGCCAGCATAGTTATATGGCAGCGAAGCACCAATACAGGACGCTAGTGTACTGTTAGTGGTGGCATAGATAGTGGATGAACAACGACGACGACAGTTTGCAAAATCCCTTTTCGGTGGGCATGGGGTTTACACAAGACGATAAAGATTATCAGAGCGAAAAATACAGCGAACAGTCGGAATGCTCAAAAACTCACCTTCTCGCATTTGATGTCGACGTTCGGCCTGGATGGGTAAAATATGAGACAGAGAAAGACAACAGAAAAACAGCGCTGAAGTGTATAAATCGGGGATATGAGCGAGGAGATAACGAAACAAATCGTCGAAAATGGGAAAAGCTCAACGTTAGAAAGAATTTTCCTCATTTGACATTTGAGACAGGTGGTCTAGCCAAATAGCATGTACAGGAATGACAGTTGGGCTGTGCTTCGACACAAATTAAACACTTTTAAGAAACGTAATGGGTGCAACAGAATGGAAAAGATTGAAATTAAAAGTTAATGTGAGACAGAAGATTGCAGGGTTCAATGAATCCTCCTGAAACCTGCAAAAGATGTACGAAAAATTACATAGAAAACTCAATTGGTCCAATAGTTAATAAGTAGAAGCGGGGATTTTTAGTTTGTGAGAAGAGTCGTAGCAGCTAGACACAACCAGACATCCAGTACACATCCAGGAAAGCGCTATTTTTAGACTCGTCAGCAGCGCACACCAGCCGAATCCTATCGGATTCGAACTCACAACGGACGCCGCGGATTTTTGGATCAACGTGTGCTGGATACTACTTTTACCTCAGATTACTGTGTTTGCAGCGTTTTATCTGTGTGAATTGTGCACCATTATTCTTCTTTTGGCGTATTTTCCGAGCGGTGCAAATTTGGGAGCTATTCTTTGGCTAATTCCGGAGATCTCACTGATTTGCCATACTACCATCTCTGTCCGCCATCTTAGATTTGCTCTAGCTTGTGATGCCGTCTCAAGCTACTTGTGGTTCGTGTTCGAAAGTTGTGGGAAATAAGGCTCATGCACTTCGATGCTACAGCTGTGATGTTTTGTTCCATATTTCGTGCATTGGCTTATCCGTTGACGTGTTTCGAAAATCGCTCGACATCCGACATCGGTTTTTTCAAGTTATATGTGATAAATGTCGCGGTACAAGACATCAGAATACGCAGCGACCGCAAACAACTACGGAAAAATCTCTCTTTCAGATAGGAACAAACCGTTCACCACGTGGGATCAAACGCCCTCGTGAAAGTACCTCTGTCACCTCGCCTTCTATTGTCACTCCGCGATCTGCACCACCACCAGCGTCTTCGACCCCGGCCGAACCCCAGGTTCAATGTTTCCCACCGATGGAAGACTCAGACTCAGAAGCTACGAAATGCCGCTTCACTGATCGGTCCGTGAATTTCTCAGAGCCTGTCTGTGAACTGCTGAACACCGAGGATCCATGGACCACTCAGAAGCGCAAGGGCCCACGTAATCGAGTTCAGACGTCACCTGCTGATAAACAACTACCCAATCAGTCAAGCGCCTCTAGTTCTGCTCCCACAGGTTCATCACTGATTTCGCTGAGGCGTCATAATCTCATGGTCTTCCACGTACCGGAGTCAAAAGATGAAAACCCTCAGATACGTTATGATCACGATGTTGAGTTCCTCCAGGGGCTCATCGATAGACTCTTGGATGTGGGCGAGGACAGTGTGACGATTAAACAAGTAATCCGACTTGGCCAGAAAACTAACCAGTCATGTCGACCTCTGAGGATCACCTTTGCAAATCCTAATACGCCGCAGCTCATACTGTCTCGTCTGTCGAGGCTGAAAGGCATAAAAGTTCACATCCGCCGAGATTTGGAACCCGAGGACAGGGATCGTTTGAAGACTGCGGTCATTGAGCTCAAACGCCGTACAGAGGAAGGTGAGACTGACTTACAAGTTGTAAATTTTCGGGTGATCAAGAAGGGTGTACGAACCCGTATCAATCGGTTGCTCAACCTCCATGCACGTCCCGCAGTACCTCCCAGGACCTCCGTGTCGCATTCGCCAACGTGTGCAGCCTAATGAACAAACGTGACGAACTGTGCCACTTCGCTATCTCGGAGCGGCCGGACATTTTAGGACCTGCAGAGACATGGTTGAACTCCGACATCATACCCCAAGAAGTCGTGTTGTCAGGATACTCTTGTTTCCGATGTGACCGAAAATCAAAGGCTCACGGTGGTGTTCTGTTGTACATAAAATCGTCACTATCTGGCAAACGTATCAGTACCTATCAGAGCGAGGATAGTTTATGCGAGCAATTGTGGTGCACAATCCGTCTCAGGCGCGCAGAACTAATTGTGGGGGTTATCTACCGGAGCCCATTAAACCGTTGCTGCGATTGGATACCACATGTACAGAAGCACATGAGCCGCCCTCAGTTCTTACTGATGGGGGATCTAAATTTACCTAAGATAATTTGGCCAGATGTTCGACTTCTTCCCGGTCATGGCAACATTGAGGCTCAATTCGCTAAAATGACTATTGAAATTGGGGCAACGCAACATGTCATCCAACCGACGCGCGTAACTCCGTACTCGGCATCTTGTCTGGACCTAATGTTTACGAGCTGCGAGCAGAAGCTAAAAGAGATCAGAGTCATCGAACCTCTGGCGAACAGTGACCACTGCTCTATTGTAGCAAGCTTAGAACTGTCGTTACCATATTACAATCAACAGAAGCCGACATTCAACTATTGGAAGACGGACTTCAACGGACTTGTCCAAGCCGCAAGTCAGACTGATTGGACACTACCACATGATGCGTCACTTGAGGCGTGGTGGTCATTAATAAAGAGGAAGCTTAACTCGCTCTGTACTCGGTTCGTTCCCCTTAAGTATCCAAAAATCGGACCTGTCAAACCGCATTGGTTTGATAGGGATTACAGACAGTTAGCGCGACGACGTCGTAAACTTTGGGATAAATACATCAGCTCGGGTTGTGATGAAGATTACGCAGTGTACAAGAAACAGCGTAACTTATGTAACGCCGCAAAGATCAAGAAACGCCGGCAGTTCGAAGAGGAACTAGCATCCTCGGCCGCAACTGCACCCAAGCGAATATTTGCCTACTTGAAACGTCAACTGAAACCTGGAGACGACCTACCGGTCTTAGAGAGCTTAGACGGGAAGACACTCATTTCAAGCGCGGAGCGCGCGGACGCCCTGGCTACGCACTTCCTCACTGTATTTTCCAGTAAACCGGCGGCTGTTCCAGTACCAGCACAGGTTGCGCCAGTCTTGCTCGACAGCCTACAATGTGATGCAGTCGAAGTACATCAGCTACTCGTCAACCTCAATGGTGCAAAGCCCCCCGGGCCAGACGGACTTCACCCACTAATACTCAAGTCCCTATCGATTATCATCTCACCAGTTGTGACAAACCTTTTCAATAGATCGCTCTCTGAAGGATCTGTCCCCAACGACTGGAAATGCTCGATAGTTAAACCGCTTCCCAAGGGTGGTGATCAGAGTAAAACAGAGAACTATAGACCGATCTGTTTGACTTCGGTATTATCCAAAGTTCTCGAGAAGGTTGTGAAAAAATGTCTGCTGTCGTTCTTCGAATCGATGGACATATTGACGCCAGCGCAACACGGCTTTACGAAAGGGCGATCCTGCATCACCAACTTGATGTACGCAAACCACCAGTGGGTTCGAGCTCTCAATGAACAGAAGGATGTTGACGTGGTGTACATCGACTTTAGTAAGGCGTTTGATAGAGTGAACCACGTGGTACTCCTTCGTAAACTGAGGACATACGGAATCGGTGGCACGTTACTTCTGTGGATACAAGAGTTTATTGTGGGACGAAGGTTTAGAGTACAGGTCAATGACTATCTGACAGAATGGTTCCCATCGACCAGTGGCGTGCCTCAAGGAACTGTACTTGGGCCAGCATTATTTCTTATTCATATCACGACGCAGTTTCTCCACATGGTCCGAAGAAACCGTCCCTCGTCTATTCACCTCGCTCATTAGACCAATCCTTGAATACGGTGCCCCAGCTTACCATCCGATAACCCAGTGGGAAACTGAAAAATTGGAGAAAATACAGCATATCGCAACTAGAATGATACCAAGTCTACGAAAACTTCCATATGAAAAACGTTGTGAAAAGCTCGGACTCTACACACTATCCTATCGCCGAGTAAGAATTGATCTTATTATGACCCATCGAGTACTACACTTGAATCACTTCCCCATACTACGGCCAATATTTCACCTGCGAGAACCCTGTAACACCCGAGGACATCGTTACAAACTCAGGGTCCCCAGCATGAACAAAGTATCACATCAGCTTTGTATCGAACGAAGAATCGTAAACTTATGGAATACACTACCTGAAGGATTAATAGAGGCCGATTCTGTGAAGTGTTTTAAAACCCGTATCGACGATTATTTTGCAAACCTGTGCTTTTGTGAAACGATGCACATACAGTGCCAAAAGAATACATTGTATGCCCGGAAATAATGACGCTAGTACAAATTTCTAACCGAACACGGATAAACGATTAACGGACCAGACACAACTGCTGATAATTCACAAGTAAATTTTGATTTTTCGTAATTCGATAGAGTTGTACAGAAACCTTTCTACTTGCTCTTAAATACAGTATCAGTATCAGTATCACCGACCTATGCCACTGAGCCATGGATGATGGCGGTGGACCGCCAGGTTGTGGACGTGCAGAGGACAGGACCGGCCACTAGAGCCACGACTTCCCTTGCAAGCCCCCACCAACCGGTGGTACGTAAGCTGCTAAAGCGATTACTGACTATTGGTAAGTAGCAGGGGAAGATTTGTTGTGTTTTTGGAGAAGATTCGTCGCGGTTAGTCACAGCCAGGCAGCCAGCACACATCCATGAAAGTGGTAGACGGTCGTTTCGTCTTATTGGCACTCGCAGTACCGCGCACCTACCGAATCCTACTGGGTGCGAAAGTATGAGCTTATTCTAACGAGCCAGAGATGTATGCAACTGAGCGATGGGTGACGGCGGCTGACCGCCATGATGTGTGGTGGCCGTCTGACTGAGTCTAGCTACGATGAATCTGTCTAAAATAGTAACACATACCATCCTCCAAAGTATGGATCACTGAGTGGTTTATTCGTAGATAATGAAGCACACTGAAGCACACATCCGTTAACTGGTATGCGCACATTCTCAATCGACTGCAGGT